TTGGTCAAAATATTGAACTAGATGAAGATAAAAATTATGAAATGACTGTAATGGGATTAGATACATATAATACATTTCAAAATATACATGAAACGAATAATAAATTTAGATTTAGTACAGATGATGGTGGTAATTGGGTAGATTTCACTTTTAAAAAAGGAAAATATGGACTTGCATCTTTAACTAAATACTTAGAAGATCATTTACTAAAAGAAAGTCATTTATCTGGTACGATTACATTTACAGCAGAAGTTGCTACAATGAGTACAAACATGACTCTTTCACCAAGGTTTCAAGTTGATTTTAGAATTTCAAATTCAATTAGAGAACTTTTAGGTTTTGAGAGTAAAATATATTATGGAGGCAGTAATATATCGGAAAAAATAACTAATTTAACGCATGTTAATACTATACATATCACAAATAATCTTGTAAAAGCTGTACGTTTAAATAATAAAGTTATAAATGTTGTACATTCATTTTTTCCGAAAGTAGGTGTTGGATTTAAAATTACAGAAAAAGTAGATTATCCAAGTAATTCAGAAATGACATCAAAATCATTTGTACATATAACAACTACATTAGTAGATCAGTATGGACATCTCCTTGAAAATCTAGGGGAACAATTAACTATTAAGTACCATATTAGAGAACGTGTTGAACCTGGTGAAGACTTTTAAAAAGAAATGAATATCTATTAAGTGAAATACTAGCATTTTTTTGAAAAAAATATACTAGATAGAATAGTATTAATTCTTAGGCCTGAAAAGATCGCGAAGCAATTTAGCATAGCCAGATTCATTATAATGAATTAAAAAATTATTGTATATATAAAAATGACAATATATTATGATACTCTTATAAATCTTTCAGAAAGTCAGAAAGAAAAAATTAAAATAGCTTTAACAGATTTAAAAAGAAAAAGAATGAAAGCAGCATATCTAAAAGGTACTGGTATAACACTTACACTAAGTAAAGCACAACTTAAGCATAACGCTAAAGTAAATGGAGGATTTTTACCTTTGCTAGGATTAGTTAGAAGTTTTTTAGCTTCAAAAATTATACCTGCTGCTGCAACAGCATTACTGACTGGAACAGCTGCAGCTGCTGGAAATGCTATAGTTAATAAAATTGCTGGAAATGGTATTGGTTCAGGTATTGTATACATAAAAAAGAATGGACTAGGATTTAAAGTTAGAGTTGCAGGAAATGGATTATTTATAGATCCGTGGGTTAACAGTGATAGTTATTCAAGTAAGTTATTCAATTATTCTTATTATAATTAAGATTTTCTGGTTCTGGGACATCATCTGCTGTTTCAAAAAACTTGCATTCAATATCTGTTTTTTCTTTTAAATTTTTTGAAATGTCTTCAATAATAAGCTCAGGACTAACATTCATTTTTTCTATTTTATCTTGTAACTTAAAAAGTTCAAGAATAACTTCTTTTGGTACTTTTTTTTCAAAATAATTTTTTAATATTTTGTATTCTGGTTGAAAAAGAGATTTTCCAAAAACTTGTAAATTATTATAGTCTAACCAACCAGGCCTTAAAAGAAAGTTTAATAACAAAGTAGTTTTTCCACAACCTGACTTTCCTACAATAATTCCTCTTATACTTTTAGGTAATAACTTATTATTATTACATTTACTTTTATTCACATTCCATGATAAATCTATGATATCCATTTTTATTTATAAAGAAAATTATTTATATCATTTTTTAATTTAAGCTAAAATGTTTTCTTTATAAAAATTCCAATAAACAAAATGGGATATACTCAAAATTACATAAAACAAAAAATAAGTATTTTTTTAAAGATTAATATAGATTTAGAACATCATGCAGTAGTTAATAATGGAAAATGTAAAGTATTTGCTCAACAAGATTTTATAATAAAATCAAATTCATACAAGTGCATTTCTTTAAATTGTGGAGTTAGAATAGATGAAGGGTATGCATTAGTTGCACTAGCAGAAAAATATAAGCCATATTTAAACTTGTTTAATTCTGTAATAGCAGACTCTACTGATGATATTATTGTAACTTTATATAATAATGATGAAAAAGATAAAAAAAAAATTGAAAAAGGAAATTGCCTATTCTATATCTTATCTTATAACGGAATTATAAATAGAATTAATTATATATCTAGTTCTTATAAATCCAAAGGATCTAGCAGAGCATTGATCCCTTCAGGATCTAACGAAGCTAAAAATGTAAAACCAAAAGAAGAAGCACAAAGTGATAAAGACTCTGTTAGATCTATATCATCAAGTCTAGGAGAATTAATTACTGATAAAATATGTGATAAAGATAATACTAAATCTAACAAAGATAAAGACAGTGATAGATCACAAAGAAATCAAGACTCTATTAAATCACAAAGTGATCCTGACTACGCTAAATCTATATTTAATTTTGGTAAATAAAAGAGATTTAATTATCATAAATATAACTTATTAAAATAACTTAGCGAAGCAAGGATCGTTAAACGATTTAAAAGAAACATTTTTTTTATAAAAAAGAATGGAATATAATAAGGACTATAATAACAAAGAATGTAAAAATGAAGAATGTAAAAGTATTTATTCAGATTTAGAGTTGATCCAACTGCACCACCACTATCTGATCAGCGATATCGATTAGATAAGATAAGTGAAATTCAAAGTAAAATAGAATGTGAAAGAAAAAGAAGAGCCATGTTGAGTAAAAAGTATCATAGAGCTGTGAGAATCATTTCAGCGATTGATAATTCATTGCTAGCTACTACTATGACACTTGGAGCTGTTGGTATAGGTCTTTTAGCAACTATAGTAGCAGCAACAGTTGCTATTGCACTTGAAGGACCTGCATTAAGTGCAGGTGTATTATCATTAATAGTATCTCAAATTATTAAAAAAATAATCATAAAAGCAGAAAAGCATGGAAAGATTAAAGTATTAGCTGATGCAAAATTAAATACTATAAGCGACCATATTTCTAAAGCTTTAATTATAGATATCAAAGAGATTTAGCTATTCTTGATTATGCAAGTAATTTTAAAAAAATTATTGCATATATAAAATGCCATTTTTAAAAACTACAGATCCTGATAAAAGAGATCAAATGATTAAAGAAGTAATAGAATCAAGTAAAAAATATATCAAAATTCTTTGAATGAAAGATTAGGCACTGATGATTTACAGATTAACTTAACAAAAATGTACAAACCACTAATAGATAGTCAATCTGGAATAAAAGAAGGCTTATCTAAATTAGAAAATAAAGCTGGTCAATTAGCAATTACTTTTTCAAGTTCTGAAAGAACCCCAGCTTTGCTAAATCCTGAAGTAATACATGAAAATAAAGTAATCATGCCACCTGAAGTTTTAAATAACATGACATTAGGAGCTATCGCAACAGAATATCTAAAGCTATATACTGTTATAAATGGTAAAAAAGTTTTAGATACTACATTCGGTATACATTACAATGAAGATAATGAAAACTTTTACATTGGTAAAAAACCGATAACAATTGAAGGTAATGATATAACTATTGAAAGTAAAAAATACATTAGAACTCCTGGTCTTTGGGAGTTAATAGTAAAATCTCATCCTGTTAAATATACTTATGATGATCGTAAAACGTATAAACAAATTTTAGAGCAAACAGATGCAATTCGTACTAATCTAAATCCTGATAAGCCAATATCATCTAGAAGTTATAAATACAAAGAAATAATAAAACCAATTTGGGAAGAAATAACTGGAAAATCTAGAAAAAGGAGTAGTAATTCTTCCTAGTGATCCAGATGAACAAGTTAAAATGCTTCAATTACGCATATCTGCGTTAAAAGCAGGTAATACTGGAGCTAGATATGAAGCTGTTGCAATTTGTGATGAGTTGTTAAGTCAAGGCATAATTGATTCTAAATATTATAAAGAGGTACAAAAAATGATTAATGTTAGTGGAAGTAGAATATTTGATGATATTAGTAATGTATATAATCGAGCAAAATCTTCAGATTTAGTTAGAACATTATCTGCTATGAAGAACATGTTGTCTAGTAATTTAGGAAAATAGATAAATTAGGCAGGAAAATAAATACTTAGGCTTGAAAAGCTCAATAAAGTATAAATCTATGTAGATCCATTTCAGATCAAGATTAGCGAAGCATGAATCGTTATAATGAATTAAAAAAATAGTTACTAAATAAAAATGCTCATTATAAATAAAAAGAGATATATTAAGAAACATGTTATTGGTGGAAGTGGACTATCTAGTTCTATAAGAAATATGTTTCAGAGACAAGCATTAAGGAATGCACTAACAGCATCTAGAGCTTTAGCTAGTAGAGCAGCTGCTAGTGATTTAGGAAAAACTGCAATAGATGCTGCAAAGTCTGCAGGAAAAGAACTTGCCACTTCTGCGATATCTACTGCTAAAGACGTCGTAGTAAATAAAGGAAAACAAATAATACAAAAAGCAAATAAATCAACTAAAGAGCTCACACCTGAAAGTAAACAAATTCTTTTAAATTTAATTGAATTTAATCCATCTAGTTCCTATGGATCCAAAAAATCTAACGAAGTCAAAAACAGTGAAGCAAACAGATTTAAGTAGAATTATGTTTGATTCAGCAATTAAATCTAGTAACAATAAATCAAAAAAGAAAACTTCAAATGCAATAAGAATAAAAGATTTAGCTAAAGATAGTAGAGTTAAAAAAGGTCAAGGTCTTAGAACAGTCTAAATCTGAAGAGATACGAAGAGATTAGCCAGATATATTATTAGATCCGTTTGGGATCCAGATATATTATTAAAATAAAATCTAAAAAATTTAGACTCTTGAAAATGATTTAAAAAAATTATCTTGTTAATAAAAAAATGGCAACTTCTTACACATTAAATATTACAGAAAAACCAATAATTGATGAAGATATTGATATATTATATTAAAAGATGAATACCATGAATATCTACAAATTTTGATAATCCTGGTACTGAAATAAGTATGACTATTAATCAGGAAGGCTTGTTTATAAATCCATCTAAAGCTTTTATTTTAATTGAAGGAAGACTTCTAAAAGCAGATGGAACATCTTATGCTAATGCAGATGCTGTAACACTTGTAAACAATGGTCTTATGTACTTATTTACTAGAGCAGAATATCAATTATCTGGTCAAACTGTAGAAAATATTAATAATTTAGGTAGAACAACTACAATCTTAGGTTTGCTCAAATATCCTATTAACTTTCAAAATGTTCAAGGTATGAACCAATTAAGGTACAAAGATTCATCAACGACTGCAGCAATTGCTACAAATTTAGGATTTGCAGCAAGACAATCTTATTTAATTCAAGAGCCAAATACAAAAGGAAAATTTTCCTTTTGTGTTCCTCTAAAACATATTTTTGGATTTTGTGATACTTATGATAAAGCTTTTTATGGATTAATACATACACTTACTCTAATTAGAGAAAGTGATAATAATGCAATTTTTAGAGCTGCAGGTACAGCTGCTGGACAAGTCAATCTTACTAAAGTATCACTTTTTATGCCACATATTAAACCATCTCTTGAATATGAACTTAAGCTTAATAAAGAAATTGAATCAAAAGTACCACTTCCATTATCTTATATTGAAAGACGTAGTGAACCGATAATTGTTCCACAAACTACTGATTTTACTTGAACGCTGAATACAACATCATCTAGTACGAGACCTAGATTTATCATTGTTGGATTCCAAACAAATAAAAATAACAATCAAGAACAAAATCCTGCAATATCTGATCATTGAAATTGTTAATTATAATCTATCATTCATAGATCAACAATTTTCAAGAGCTTATAATGATACATCTCTATTTACTGAAAAGTTTTATGGAATGAATGAACTTATATCACAATGCAGCATAAATCCTCAAGACTATAAAACTTTATATCCACTTTTTGTTTTTGATGTAAGTAAACAATCAGCCATATTAAAGCCATCAATAATAGATGTTCAAGTTAAATCAACATTTAATACAGCTGTTCCAGCAAATACTATGGCAAATGCAGTTATAATTTCTGATCGATTAGGGCAACTTATATCTGATGGAAGCAAATTACAATATATATATTTAATCTCTTTCTGAACTGAGCGTAGCATGAGCCCTTTCAAGACCTAACGAAGTCTGGGTCCCTTTAAGACCTGTGACGTCACGCAAGAAACGAAATTAGCAGTAATTTGAAAACTGATTTTTAAATCTAAAAAATTGATTTAAAAATTTATTTCTTAATTATACAACTTATACACACTATGCTTGAAAATGAACCATATATATAGTTGAAAATATGATTGAAAATGAAAATGGCCCAGAACTCTCCTTTTCCTACTACCTAAAAAATTAAAACAAATTCCAAACTTGAAACAGCAGAAAGTTGTTTCAGGATAACTGTTTATATTCCTACTGTTGATACTTTCTATAACTAGATGAAGAGCCATTTTTAATTTCTTCAACATGTTGTAAGTCATTTCCAGTTTCTTTTTGCAAAAAAATTTAGCATATTTTTTTAATGAAGAACTCTCTAAATTTGTTGTAGTATTGTAAAGTATAAATACGATGATGATATGACCTTCTAAGCTAATTTTTGTCATTCCGTTTGTGTGCCATCTACATCACAAAAGAAGAAACGAACAGCAGTGTGAAAGACACCATAATGGAGCTCAACTAATATCTAGCTTTCCAGATATAGTAACTGCGAAATTACTATATCTGGAAAGCTAGATATTAGTTAAAAAACCTTATTTAAAGTCTCTGAGGCGCGTCGCTGAGGCCTCTGATAAACAAAGCTTTTTAAAGCGCAAATTAATAAAAACATCTCTGCCATTCGATATAACGTAAGATCTCTTAATTAACGCGGCTATTTTGCGCATTTTGAGATTTCGGTAACGCCAGAAAACGAGAATTTAGACTTTTAAAAAAAATTTAAAACTATTTTAATTAAAGTTATAATAATTATCTAATAATTCATGCATTTTTGGTTATGCCATTTACAGTATGCTTTTTTACAGAGGTTCATTTGTGTGAAATACGAAATAAATTTTTAAGTATTTCATTAAATAGTCATGCTATTTGTACGGCGGTGGTAAGCCTAAAGATTGTGCTTGCAAACCATCAAATAACTTTAATTAAAAAAACATGATTGATAAGATTGCTTGTTTCATCTGAAAAAATAGTAAAGATAACTGCTAACAGTATGTTTTTTACAATGTAACGCAATACCTGTATAATTTTAAGTATTTCATATTATTAAAAATCAAACAAAAACGTTCTTGCGGTCTATAATTAAAAGCAATTTGTTTATATTTATAGACTAACTTCATGTGTAAGTATTATATGTTGGTATCGATTAATTGAAATATATATCATTTTTAAAATTGTAGCAATTTACGATAGTAAACTAAGTTTTTAAAATTAAACTTCATGCTATATTTTGCTATAAAATGTTATGAAATCCAAAAACATTGTTGGCTTAGCAAGAAACAGTTGCAAATAATCATAAATCGTCATTTGCAAGTCATGGACCGTCCGTTATTGACCATCATTTTGCGTAGCAAAGTATTGCTCATGCGCTGAGTTAACAATTTTTATTAACCATTTAAATATTTTTTTTTATAATTTAAGGTGGTACCCTGGTAAAAAAAGCTATTTTTGGTAAAATTTTAAAAAAGTACGAAAATGAATATTTTGAATTCTTAAATTTACCTTTCAATATATGTTCTTTAAAAAGTTGAAAACCTTCTTGATTTTTATCAAATTTACCCTTTTTTAAATACCGGTTTGGTTCTGCCTTCATAGCAACGACCTTAGCAACGCTTTTTCTCCAATATCTCCTAAACCAAAAAAGCGATTTACTTCAAATTTGTGCTAAACAATCCTCAAGACGTTTGACTTCTTATTAAATATTACTTTAAGCTATAAACTGTACGTTGAAATTACAAATATTGTTCTCAAAGTAGAGCTCCTGAAGGACGGTAGTTAACTTTTTGTCAGTCTTTCATTCAGTTTGAATTGAGTTATAATTAAAGATTTGTTAGTGTTTTTATTTGTAAATGGGTTCTTCAAGCAGGTATAAGTCCTCTAAAGGTAAAAAAAGAAAGGTTTAAAAAACTAGTTGTATATCGTGGTTTTTATACTACAGAGGGAAGTCAAAATAAAGATATTCATCGTGTCAAACAATCGAACAATGTTACATAAGATTGTATTAAAAAAAGACGTTAATAGCTCAGAGCCTTGAGAAAAGGATATAATGATCAAAATAAATTTTTTTTTCTCCAAATCTCAATTTTTCAGAAAAAATAACTTTTGATAGAAAATAGCTAAAGGGCTGAAATTTTGCAGGATTAAAGATAAACATATTAGGAATGTTTTCTATGGTAAAATTAAAATGGTTTAAAAAAATTCTGTTTTATAGACAACATTCTTAATACATTAAAGAACATATGTTTAAATTTTTAAACAGTTTTGACAATTTTTCAATTAGTTATATTAGATGAAAGAATAGGCAGTTTTAGGGGAAAAATAACACTAATTATGCCCATAACTAATGACGTCATCACTAAAAAAATTTTTGTATACCAATTTTTTTTTTTTTTTTGTTCAATAGTAAAAAGAGCTTAAGTCTAATGATATTTTTTAATTTTTTGTTAAAAAAAGTTGATTTTACCAGGGTACCACCTTAACATTTTAAAAACCATTTCAATACATCAACACACTTTTTGCTTGACATTGTTTATATACTTAACTTATTTTCTTTTCAACAAAAAAAGGTGATAATAATGACTGTCATTGTGATATTAGGTCATCTGATGCCAGTTGATGAAGTTGAACGACTTTGATTACTCTAGATTGATATCTAATTGAAATAGAATGTTAAATAGAATGACGATGGCTGAGAATGTCATAATGATCAATTCTCCTTACTTTGGTGTCCTTCATCCTTTAATAAAGCAAAACTTTCGAAACATGTAATAGGCGTGCAACACAAACAGTTGGCTGTGTTTAGGTCTGATATTGCGGAGAGAGGGATGTAACAAATTTCATAAATTTCTATCTTCATAACCCATAACTAGCATGACTAAACTTGTTAATTTATCATATTTTTTGTTTGTTAGCTTATGTTTGATAAAAAAATACTGGAACCAGTGTGACTTAATATAACTATCACTCTATGTTTAAAATAAAATACAATTTTTATTTTAAACAACATGAAATCGACACTTATTTGTACTTCAACATTAGAAAGGAAAAGAATTATGATTGGTTTTGAAAAAATTACATGTTGAAAAACCGTAACTTTTTCGGCGTTTGCAACGTGAGGCCGTTATGTTCTGCCGTTATTGACTTTAAATACAAAAATAAGAGAGCATATCATAAAATTACTATTTCAATATTTTTAATTTCTAATACAAAATATAATAAAAAAGTATTTTGTAACCCTAATCATTAAAATATATAACATAAATAATATTGGAAAAAAAAAAAAAAAAAAAAACTTCCATCGTTCAAAAATAATAGGAGACATAACAAAAAATTTATTGAAAAAAAACAGCACTAATGTGAATTTTTAGTTAGAAGTACATTTTCACGAATAAGATTCATCAACTTCATCACTGTTATGGTCTCTTTGAAGCATAGATAATTCTTCTTCGCCCTCTTCTTCTGAGATTGGTACAATAAGATTGTCACGTGACATTAGATCATATTTTGTAACAAAACGAGTGAACCGTTTACATAAATGAGTTTCGTTCTAAAAACACAAATGACTTATGTAAAATCACAATGAATTTATAACACAAATGAATTTAATGGACAAGGAATAAAGATAATTTTACTTCAAATTGTCGAAATAACAAAGGATGGTGAAAATAAGCGTGAGAGAATACTCTGTATACTCTGCGGCAAACGGATCCAAGTTTTGAAACAGAAGAGTCTTTAATGCTAACTCTAAAAAATTTCGTAAAAACACGTTATAACGTTCTATTGTGTAAAGAATTAGAGGACTAGAGACTAGTACTATTAGAAACCTGCTCGGAAAGTATTTATTGCTATTTAATAACGATGCGGCTCCGTCCAACGTGTGACGCGTATAATCTACAGCAGGACACTAGAAAAAGAAAAAAAAACTTACAAAAAAAAAAAACTAAACTAAACTAGTATTTAAATAAAAAAAGAATAATCTTAAAAAAAGTTATATTTCGTGATTAAAAACATTAACAAGTATATTTAAAAATTACACGCGACCTCGTTTGGCGTTTTATGAGCAGCACACAAAAAGATCCATTGTTCAGTTGCTGTCATTTGTGTACACGTGTCAGGTTTACACTCTTGCTAAAAGTAAAAACATGTTGCAAAATAAACATATGATTAAGTAAGCGTAAGATTCACAATAACGCGTAAAAGTAGGAAGATAATTAAAAAAAAAAAAAGCAAGAGAAAAAGATATTAATAAAAAAATTTAAAAAACGATTAATTTTGTGATATTAAAATTAATCGTTGCCATAAAAAAAAAAAATTCCCGAGAAAATTCTTTGTGGCCCATCGTTGCCATTGCCACACGGCTTTACTTTTATTATTTACAAATTCCGTATGAAATATAATAACTGTTAAAATGGCGATACAAATTCGAAACAACACTTGGAAAGAAGATATAAATGTTAAGGTGAGCTTGGAAAGCTATGTAAAACAAAATCTTTCAAGGAAAGAAATTTTAGACTTCATGAAAATTAACTTTTCGCAATATGGATGGAGTAGGAGAACTCTTGATAGGCGTCTTCGACATTTTAAAATATATTTTATTGATAAAAATGTTTCGGTTCAGGATGTTCAAAATGCTATTAAAATAAAATTAGAAGGACCTAGTGTACTACTTGGATACCGAGCTATGCATCAAAAATTGAGATAATATCACAATTTATGTGTGCCAAGAATTGTTATTTATGCAGCTATGTTCGCAGAAGATCCAGCAGCACTTGAAAACAGAATACCTTGCTTTAAAAAGAAGAAAGCCAAGGGTAACTACATATCAGAATGTCCAAATTGGGTTGATTCTCTTGATGGAGATGATAAACTAATGGGTATCAAAACAGTACCTTTTCAATAGCAGTATACCGCTGTATAGACACTTGCAGTAGGAAAATAATGTAGCAAAAAGTGTGGAGCAGTAATAATAACCCAAAACTTATTGCCAGATTTTATCTGGAATATTTAATAAAAAATAATATTGTTCCCAAATACATAAGAATAGATAAAGGTACAGAAACTGGGCATACGGCTGCTTTACATGCCTATCTTCACCAAAATTATATGGATAATCTAACAGATAGCATCATTTATGGCCCTTCAACCTCAAACCAGGTAATACTTGAAACAAATTGTAAAACAATATAAAATAAAGTGCAATATTAAAGCAGTTATATTATTTTTTTATCGTATTACAATTTGTTTCTGATTTGTTAGCATAAAAGGACATGGTGTAGCCTTTTTTCAATGGAGTTGCATGAGCGTCTGGAAAAGTATTACAAGATTCGTTTAAATTATTTAAAAATAATTTGATAAACTCATTTCACAGTTCAGGTCCTTTGAAATTTAAACAAAATATATTTAATAAGTTGGTTAAGATTGAAAATTTTTTGAGACTTTATAAATGTTTATAAATACTCTATACGATACTATACAAATATATAATTTAGAAAAATATAATTTAGAGATAATATAAAAATATATAATTTAAAATAATAAAATTTAGAGATATACTAGCATATACTATGGTTCCACTATTTCGAAATAAAGCTGATGATTTTGTTGAAATGTGGAATTCTCATAGAATTCGAAAACAGAAAAATAATTTGTTACCTAATGGAGTACCCAATCATATTTATTCATTTTATAAAATATACTGTTTAAAAGAGTGCGGTATGATTTTCTTAAGTTATTTAAATTTTTTTTAAATTTAAAGATTAAATTTAAATTGGTTTCAATAAAGATGAAAAATTCTAAAAACTTGTTGAGTGTCATACGTTTTAAATGCGTTCTGATTAATATACTATGTTTCATATACTATGGTATTCAAGCAACACAATAATGTAAGGAAAATATTTTAATACAAGTTGATAGTAATGTTATGATATTCTTCACAAAAAATATCTAACAACTGGGAAACACACAATTCCCAGTTGAATAATTTTCCAAGTATTGAAATAACTGTACTAGCCATTTGTGACATTTAAAGCTAACCACTCTAATTCATGTGATGGCTTAGATGTGTCATCTTTTACTATCATATATATGCCACTTGAGTGATAAATACGATAGCCACACAGAGCCATCCATTAAAGTTAGACTGGCCCACATAAAATGAACCCACATCTATTTCTCTTGTTAGTTAGGCTTTAAAAAAGTTTTGTTTTATAGGTATGGTTTTTTCAACAAAAGAAATTGAAGAGGCTGCTGAAGCATCTGAAATTTTAATACAAGATTTTGATTATATTTCTTCTTGATAAATAAAAAATCTCATGGGTGGAGTCAATCTCATGGGTGGAGTCAATCTCATGGGTGGAGTCAATCTCATGGGTGGAGTCAATAAAGATTTGGACTTAGTTGAAAAATACAATTTTTAAAAAAACTCTTTTTGAAAAAAATTACTTGAAGATATGTTTATGACTAAATATACTTTTTGATTTTTTTAAGTATTTTTATTCTTACTTAACATTTAATGGAATAAAATATAGAGAATACTATATGTGTGTTTTACTAAGTAAAATTGAAGATAAAATATAGAGAATACTATATGTGTGTTTTTTTTTAATGTTTTTTTAATTATTCAATTCCCCAAGGCTCGAGGGGGCCACTATAGAGAATACTATATGTGTGTTTTACTAGTTATTATGCAAAATTATGCATGAGTTGACATATTTCTCAGAGTGAAACATAAGCTGTTTTCATCAATCGCGTTTGAATATGTTGCAATTTCAGGATCATAAAGTGTAAAATTTGAACCTTGAATATCCAAAAGCATTAGTTCATAGTTTGACTTTTTGTATGTATAGTGCACAAAAAATTCTACTTTCTTGACTTTGTCGCTCTTTTCTATTATAGTTGAACCATCATTGTTAATGTACTTAAAGAAGTCTCTGTTAATAAACTGTTCAACGGTTACATATGACCCATCTGATTTGATTTTACCTAATTTAGTTTCATTATATGTAACAATCTCCAAAATCACTTAGCAACATCTTTTTTCTACTGCAAAGCAAAAATTTTGGCAAGTTCATGAGCTTGCACTTACTAGCAACATAATGTTTCTACAGTTTCTTTGCAACTAATGACTTCATTAATTTCGTTTAGCTCATTTAGTGTTGAGTTAAGGAACTTTTTTATTACATAATGCTCGTCATCAGACTGAGCATGATAAATTTCTTGAAAACCACCTAGAGAAAATGATTTTTCTTTTATTTAGAAAATCAAGAAACAATATTTTGAATTTGAATATTTGTACATCTATTGTATGTGTTTTTATTAAAATGCTGTGCAGGCAATGGAGATAATTGTGTCTTCGCATATCCTAAGGCCACTGCATGAACAAGATAGCAAGCAGAGCAGGTTAACATAAATTCTTTATTTTAACTTCTTAAGAAGCATATTTAGCAGAACTAAAATATCACCAGGGATCAATGTTATAAAATTTTTTATCGGCGTAAAATGCTACCGGCGGTAAATTTTACTAGCGTGAATGATTTTTTTTAATGTTATAAAATATTTTTAAAAATTACCGACGATTAATTTTTACAGCCAAGACGTTTACAGCCGAGACGTTTACAGTCGATAAATATTCTGGAGGAGCAACCTACAGAAATTTTTGTTGAAGATCCAAAGATATGAATATTTAGTTCAGAATTTTTCAAAGCACTTACCTTGAGTTGAAACTTTTTAGAAATTCATTCATTTTAATTAAGTGCCCATTTCTTGATAAATTTTAATTTCAAGCGATTTCATTGTTAATATTTTTCTACTGAATATGTCATGTAAGAAATGCATTTCTTATGCATGTAATGCATATTTATTAATTTTAACAAAAAATATTAAAACACAACAGAAAAAAGGAAAAAAATTAGATAAATTGAAGTTCAGAGCTAGGGTTATAAATAATAAGTTGAAGAAAAGTATAAGATTTATAAGCAATATTTTTCTAAAAAATAGTTAAAGTTAAAAAAAAAAAAAAAATTTTATTATTTTAATCTTTATTTAACTGAAGTATTTTCTCTAAATCACTGTGTTATTATTACTCTACTTTTATCATTATAAATATTATTTTTTCTGTTTTTATTGTTACAATTTTTTTTTAATATTACTATTTTTGCTATATTGTTGTTATTATTATTGTTATTATTATTGTTGTTTTTATTTTTACTGTTATTATTGTTATTATTATTATTAATATGGTATAGTGTATTCTTTTGTAATCTTTATTATTGTGTAATCTTTGATATTACTTTTGATTTTAATTTAATTACAACTATAATTTTTATTTACTCCTTGTATTTTTACTAATACTTCAATAATAATAAAATGATGCTAATATCAGCATCATTTTATTATTATTGAATTTTACAGGTGTCTACTTCATATTAATACTTACTACATGGATTGATAAGTTCCCGGAATTCCAAGAAAAACAACAAAATATCTGGAAAAATATGTTTTATTCTTCTACATAATCACCTTTTAGAACAACACATTTATTCCATTGATCTTTCAACATTTCAATTCCCTTCTTAAAATGATTTTTCTCAAGTCATTTAAAATATCCATTCGTTTCTTTTCAGACTTCTTCATTTGTTGCGAACCTCTTTCCCTGAAGCCATCTTTTCAAATTAGGAAATAAAAAGTAGTCACTGGGTGCTAAATCTGGTGAATAAGCTGCCTGGGGAAGTATTTCCCATCCTAACTCATCAAGTTTTTCCATTGCTTTTAATGACGTGTGAGATGGCGCATTGTAATGATGGTACAAAATTTTTTTCTCCCGCAAATGTGGTCGGCTTTTCTGAATCTCATCCCGTATACGATTTAATAAGGTGGCATAATACTCTCCAGTGATCATCTTTTCTTTTTTTAAGAAATCAATAAATATTATGCCACGTGCAACCCAAAAGACACTTGCCATAACCTTTCCAGCCGATTGCTGCGTTTTCGGCCGCTTTGGTCAACTTTCCCCAGGTTTTAACCATTGTGGTGATTGTTACCTCGACTCGGGTGTGTAGTAATGGATCCACGTTTCATCCGATGTAATAAAACGACGCAAAAATTCCGATGGATTGCGATTAAACATGTCCAAACACTGTTGAGAAGTCGTCAATCAGTTGCGTTTTTGGTTAACAGCCAACACGCGTGGCACCTATCTGGGAGCAAGCTTTTTCATTTCCTAATGTTTGTGTAAAATATTAAAAACACGTTCATAAGAAATGTTTACACGGTTAGCAATTTCACGAACTTTGATTTTACAATTTTCTATCACAATATCATGAATTTTTTCGATCATTTCTTCAGTTGTGACCTCTTTTGGCCTTCCTGAACCTTCTGCATCACTTGTGCTTGAACGACCACATTTGAATTCATAATACCAATCGTAAACAGTTGTTTTCGATGGAGCAGAGGAACCCAAAGTTTTATTGAAGTCATTTATTATTTCTTGAGGTTTTAAGCCTCTCAAATATTGATATTTTATCACTTCCCGAATTTCAGTTTTTTCCATATCAGCAAAAAAATCGAGTTTATTTTACTTCACTTGCTATAAACACAAAACTAGATAATAAACTGACTTAAAATTTATATAGTAATCGTATACAGGTCTGAACTTGCCATACATATAAATTTTATCTTTATAGCGATGATTCATACATCCCATTCCAGGAACTTATCAATCCATGTAGTATTACTAATTGTAAATAACCTTGATGTAACAACTTTATTCAGAATATATTTAAAAGGCTTAAAACCTCAAGAAATAATAAATGACTTCAATAAAACTTTGGGTTCCTCTGCTCCATTGAAAACAACTGTTTATAGAAAATAGTATAAGTAATTTCTATAGAAAAACTAGACAAATTTTATTATGGCCCATAATAAAATATACTCCATAACTTATGGGGTAGGATTTGCCAAATATTGTAAAGCAACAAAATATACTTCAATCGGAACAGTCTAAGTTCATTAGAAAACTGGATTTAAATTTTCAGTTTGTTAACTGTGATGTATTAGAAATTTCAACTCAAAAACACTTTTTTTTTGTTTTTTTTTGTTTTTGACAAAGTTTTGTCTTAAGAATATTAATGATCTGGACAATAGATTTCCAAAAATAAATTCAGAGCATAGATATAAGCAAAATTTGATGTGGAGAAGTTTTACAACATTAAATTGAAAAATATTTTATGACTCTAAATTTACGTCTGTAAAAATTCCTAAAGCAAAATTTCCGCTGGTAGCATTTTACGCCGATAAGAAGTTTTATAACATTGATCCCAGGACAAAATTCAACAGGAAAGAAGGAAATGAAAGAAAACAACTGTGACTTATCAATGCTGATAAGCAACTTAAGAAAAAAAAAGAAAAAAAAGGATGAGAAAAGAAGACTAGATCGTGCTGAAAAGATAAAAACAACAACAAAAAAGAAGTCCATTTTAGCATCTTCTGAATCCCAACCATTGGTTGGTACCATAATTTCATTGACAAAATTAGATAGTGTTGATGTTTCACACTTAGAAATAACTACTTCAATAAGCTTATTGCTATTGTTAGCTTAGAGTTATTGTTCCAGAAATAGAAAAACTACCTAACAATGAAAATAAAATAAAAATCGAAGAAGTAAGTTATCAAAAGAAAAAAGGGAAAACTGACAAAAAACAAACAAACTGTAATGAACATAGAACTCTTTGTGAGTCATGCAAAGAATTTTTTTGTAAAGATAAAGGTGAAAGAAACTGAATTGAATGCCAGGAACATTATGAATGGTACCAAATTGATGCCAGTGATTAGAGAGGTTGCATTAAACTTTTTTTTTGTATTACTTGTTAAAATTATTCTGACTAATACATACTCGATCTTTAAAAAACATTTCATATCAGTTGCTATTTATTTCTACAGTTGATGCATGCATTATCTTAATATAGTATATCTTTAAATATATTGCTAAATATAATTTTTAAATAACATTTATATAGATTATGATTTATTAGATACTATATGGTAACCTTTGCTTAATCCAATATTGTATTATTTGTTCAAAATTATATTAGCTACCTTATTTTTGAGTTCATGAATAAAGTAGCCAAAAAGTAATTAAAATTAACACAATCAATTGGGTTTGATCTTAGCACTGGGCAAGGGATGATCCAATGCTCCAATTGTACAAAGTGGGGTGGAGCCTACAAATTAACTGACGAGATTTAATCTTGAAAACCTGCATTTAATGTTGCTCAGTGAGCGAGGTTCAGTGCTTTTGACACTCTGTACAGTTTTTAATGTTGATGTGAAATGCTTTTATAAAAGTTAGAAGAGTTTGCATAGTTTTTCATAATTTCTTAGGTTCCATATTCAAAAATTATATAAATTGTAAAGATAAAAAAAAAATATAACCATATAAAAAAAAAAAAATCAGAAAAGTTCTAAAATAATATGTAGTATTTTTAAAGGTATTTAGTACCCAAACCCTGTTAGAATGTCTTTCTCAAATTCTAACAGGTTTATTTTTTTTTGAAAAAACATTTTTTTTATTTCCTAAGCCATTCTAACAAGGTTTTGAAAATAGTATTTTCCAAACCCTGTTAGAATGGCCGAGGGAAAGTTTAAAGAACGTTTACTCAATTTAATACAAATCAATGCAAAATAGTTGTTATATACCTGTAATTTGACTGCTAGACCATCAAATTCCAAGCAAAACTGCCTGAAGATATAAATTATAAAATAATGATATGAAAAATAATCATAATAACTCACATAAAAAGTTATCAGTTAAAAATATAGGCTGATACTGCAAATACTGGCTAAGTAATTGAAATATCAATAACATATAATATATAACTAATAGGTATATAAAACTATATATAACTAATAGGTATATAAAACTAAATTTATAAGAAAATAGTTTTACAATCTAAATTTATACCATTTATTAGCAAATGCGCCATTACATACATTAAAAAAATTAAAAAAACACCTATTTATTGTATGTTTATACTTAAATAGTCCTAATACTTCATTTTAAACCAAGCAGTAGTAATATTTCACTTTTAAACCAAGTACTAGTACTAGAGAAACTCTAATAGAAGTAACAGTGATGTTTTCTAATTGCCACTTTTTTTTTGCAACATTCAGGTCATCTTTAATGGATATTTTATATTTTCTTTTTATATTTTATTTTTATATTTTATTTTTATTTCCCTTTTATATTTTCCAACAACCTCTAGAGTAGAGATGTCTCGATACCAGTTTATGCCGAGTCCCTGATTCCGGATACCCAGAGGAAAATACTGGGTTTGAGTCTGAATACCCAGCACCGGATCCATTTTAAAAGTTTGTAAAATTTCTAGCACTGAAGTATTTTCACAAAATAACACTGATTAATTCTTGCTAATTAAGTTTGCGTAAATATATGAAGTTTTTTTTAAATAAACAACTATATTTACAATCAAGATCACAATTTCAAATTACGCAAACTAAAGTGTAAACTTGATGTCTGTAAATATTCTTTCCCTTTCAGGGTTGTTAATATTTGAAAAAAATTGCTATCTGATTGTTAATGCCAAAAACATCAAGAGCTTTAAAATTAAAATTAACTCTATCAACTTCAAAAAATTCTCTTGTAAAAAATTCTTTCACAAAATAAACAGAAGCTATTCAAATATCGGTATAATTCAGTTTCCTTTTTTGCAATATATTCTGATTTCAAATATATATTTCAAAAAATATTTATATAAATATTTTAAGACACATTTATAATGAGTAAATTTTGTGGTTATTAACTCAATAACACTCTTACACTTGAATCAAGAAATTTATTGGATGAAGTTTAAACGAAACAATAATAATATTTATTTTAAGTTTAAACGAAAAGAAACTATGTTAATAATATTTTGACACAATTTAAAGTACCACTTTAACTGAGGTTAATGATCATTAAAAATTTCTTTTAAGATACCCATTGAAAAAGTACTGCAACAAAATGGTTGATTATGGGTAACCAGCAAAACAGCCAAATTACTGGGTCCCCGGGTCCAAACCGGGTACCCGGCACATCAAACACAAGTGAAATATCTTCTTTTGCTAATGACAAACACAAGTGAAATATCTTCTTTTGCTAATGTATCACTAACAATATATATATATATATATATATATATATATATATATATATATATATATATATATATATATATATATATATATATATATATATATATATATATATATATATATATATATATATATATATATATATATATATATATATATATATATATATATATATATATATATATATATATATATATATATATATTATATATATTATATATATAGAAACTTTTCTATGATCTTATCTTATTTTGTAAATAACTATAAGATTCTGATACTTCAATGTAATACTCTTGTCAATGTAATACTTTTATGCAATGCAGTCAACGTATTGCTTCAATGTAATACTCTTGTCAAACAAAACAAAAAAATCACAAAATTGTTAAAAAATCTTTAGTTCAGGGTGGGAAAATTTTTTGAAAATTATTAAACAGCTGCTGTGTAGTAATAATTCCTGTTTTTTAAGTAAAAAAATTTAAGTAAATTTAACCATGTTTTTTTTCTGCAAAAGAAAAGACCACTCCAACTCTTTGTAATAACTCTAACTAAACTATTCAGAATAACATCTTAAAAAAAAAAAAAAAATAAAAAAAAAAAAAAAAAAATAAAGCTACATCAGCATTTTTGTAACTAAACTTGCCCCAGTAAAATTACAATAAAAGTTGAAAATACAGGAGTTATGTTTATTTTTGAATATTTTAAGTTGTTTGTATTGGATTCCTTTCCTCAAATATGTAAGTGTACACATTTTTAGCTTTCCATTGCACACAGAACAGAAACAATGACCAAAACCATTTTTAAAAACGGCAGATTTTTGTTAGTTCAAGGCAAAGTTTGAAGAGTCTCATCTTTGAAACCGTTTGGAATTAGATAATAAAATTTTGGAAATGTTCATAACTTATCAAAATCTTTTAGATGTCAAAAATACAGTAGGTTAATGACTTAAAAAATAAAAATTTAAAAATCTATTTGATTAAAAATTATTAAATTTTATTATTATAGATTTTAAAAATAATTTAAAAGCTGCAAAGTGTTAAAACTAAAATACAAAATTTTTATTTTGAATAAATATACTCTTAAAAGTTCTTATCTGCATCAACATGTATGTAATTTAACTAAACCCAACAATCAAGTATCAACTTTATATCTTCAGATTGCAACATGATTACTAATATAGATCACAAGCAAATTATTGGGAAGTCATCAGTTATTACCTTTTTCCATCAAAATTAGCCCAAATCCAACTATAAAAAAATAAGTCATTCATCAATAATCTCGCAGAAATCATGATCAATAAAACTTGAAATCAGTTGATTAGATTTAATAGGCTATACAATACTGACTCATGGAATTTATTTCATAATACACTAATCCACCAATAAACACTTTTATTCTAAAATAAAAATATGTTAAACCAGCCATACAGGAAAAAAAACAAGCATATTGAAAACTTCTTATAACACAAATCAGAAGCTCCTTTCTTAACTTAAACTCTTTCTTAACTTGAACTCTTTCTTAACTTTGTTTACTCATACAATAAAACCAAAAACGTATGCAAAAATGCTGTGATATTATTTGATAAATTTTACTTTAAAAATCAAATCAAATCTAAAAGCTTTTTTTAGTAATGTAAAATACAAAAACAAAAATAATGTTTTACCAAAAATAATTATTCAAAACAACAAAACTGGCAATTAAAACCATTTGAAAGCATGTATAAAAATATATAAACAATTTCTCTGCCACTTCTTTACTATAATCTCTAATCATTCGAGTAATCTTAAAGCTTATAAATCTGCAGGACCAAATTAGACTCATCCCAGAGTTCTTAAAAATGTAAATCATACAACATCAGTTACTCTCTCTTAATAATCTTGATGTCATATAATGATAGAGTCTTACCACAAGTCTGGAAAGATGCTCACATTATCCCTATTTTTAAAAAAGGACATAAGTCACTGGCTGAAAGCATTAATCCAATTAGCCTAACCTGTATTGTTGTCAAAATATTTGAAAAAATTAAAAAATCTTATATTGTTTCACATTTTAACTACCATTTTTTGTTAAGTAATTCTCGACATGGATTTTTCAAAGGTTATTTGTGTCTAACAAACTTAATGCCAGTCATTGACACTTGGACATTAGCCTTGGAAAGTAAAATTAATATAGATAATATATATCTTGATATATCAAAAACTTTTGACACAGTTATTAAATTCAGCGAGTCACAAATTTGTGGAATAGTTGTTTAAACAACATCTAGTTAGTATATGAACATCATATTATACATATAAGAGATTAGACCAGCACAAGTAGATGCAAACAAACAAAAAGTTGATAGGCTCATTTATTCTAATTTTTCTATCTGTAAAATTATAACCTTAGATAATAATAATACATGTATTTAAATTTTATTTATTACTAATTTTATAACTTAATCAAGAGTTTCAAAGTTCAAATCTACCCTAATCTAGATGTACAGTGTTCAAACTGTTTCACAGTGCAACAGTTTGTTTAACAAAGCTTGTGTTGTTGAATTTAAGTTTGAGAAAGAGTAGCAAATAATATAAGGTGAAATTAATAAAAGTGAAAAAAAAAAAAAGATAAAATATAAAATAAATAATAAACTAGTTATAAAAATTATAAACTAATTATAAAAAAATTATATAGAAAATATTTAACTTTAAATTTATTTGTACATAAATGAATTTATATATCAATAAATACAACCCTCGGAATTAAGAAAATTGAGGTTAGCAATAACTTGCTGACCTCAATCTTTTAGAGATTAGCATCAGGTCAGCAATTTTTTGCTGACCGCAAACACTTTTAGGTCAGCATTGTCGAATGCCAACCCTAATTCTGAGGATTGATGAACATGTATTATAATTGAACTTAAATGCTGATTGATTTACAAACAAATGTATTATAGTACATTTTAACTTTAAAAAAAATTATTCTTCTTGAAAAAAAACTCTTTTATCTTGTTCCTTTAACTTTAAATATGAAACAATAATTAATTCTACCTTAAATGTTCATACTTCCATACACCCTCATCCTGACCTTCAGGAGGTTCTAGTATTTCTTCAATTCGAGAACAATCTCTTCGTATAACTTGTTGTATATACTAAAATACAAATTTTTTTTTGCCTAAAATTAAAAACTTGAATTCCAAATTGGTCAAAAGTATCAAAACTCAAACAAAAGTGGAGGTTAACAATAAATAATGTAAATGTTAATCTTGTGCCCACTAATAAAAATCTGAAAACTTTCTTAAAAAGAAAATTGCTATCAGACATGGCTATATTAGTGGGGTTTTGATAGACCCATATTCAATGAATTAACTGTCAAAGGGTGGGTTGACAAAAAAGTCTAGTGTTTTAACATTTTTGCCTTCCTTATATGGCCATACCTTAGAATTATTATTTTTAAGTTAATAATAAATTTTCAAATTTAGTTGCTGACTGCTGCTTCAGAATGAAATTTTATATATCCTACAAAAAAGATAAGTTTGTGGAACCCATGATTGAAATTATACATCCATGAGGTATTTGTCAAAATGATTTAACTTAGATTGAAGTTTCACATAATCAGATACCATCTCAGATTTGATGTCTTTGGTGAAAACAAAACAATTTTTTGCATTCTAAATAGGTTGCTGTTAAACACGGAAAAATTTGTGTATGCTAATATTCATTAAAAATAACAACATTTTGCAAAAACTCAAGGCAATTGAAACAAAAATACTTTTAAAAAACACCCTCAGTAACACCATGCTTGAGGAGAATACCTTAAATTAAATTCAAGATATTGTCCTCAAGCAGGAATGATTCAATTTATGATTAAAATGTTTTACCTTAAATTGAATCATAGTTTATAACTAAGTGTGGAAGAAGCGAACTTGAGTGAAGTTTGACTTGAAATTTAAAGCTGATTTTGCCAAGTTAGACTTCAAAAAAAAACTGGAGCAAATGTGTAAACAAAACTTGAAAATTTCAAGATCGTGCTTGAGAAAGTCAAACTTGAAAAGGGGTTGATTTGAAGACGCAATCACAAAAAAAAACTTTGCAACCAGTAGCAGAGTATTTGAAAAGGAAAAACTTTTTAAATAAAAAAAAATATTTATAGGGTAAATCAACCAGTCGTTGACAACCCTTCTAGACTTCGACATTTTGTCACTAAAAAAAAGGGCGAGCAAACACTAACTGAAGTAAAGTGCCAAAATAGAGTCTAAAATGATCACCTATCTTTCCTTTATATATGAAAGAAGTTTGGCTATCGTAAACATAAAAAAAAACACATACGATGGTTTGGAGCAAAAAAAGTTCCGTAAATAGCCTTAACTCTTTGAAATAATTTTCATAATTGTTTCCAGGTAACCACAAGAAACGCATGACAAATGTAATGTATTTGAAAATTTTTTTTTCATGCTGACACTGAAAAAGATGAGATAAATTTACAGTCATTTAAAATAAAAAAATTAAAAATTGAAAGGGAAGTGGGGGAGTAGAAGGGGTGTTAAAGACTGGAAGCAATTTATTAAGTTTTCCAGAATTCGGAAAAAAAAAAAAAAAATTATTATTACTTTATTGTATGATAAGGGTTCTGAGCCACATATTTAATGTAATTTTGGTCAGAGATTTATGTTTGAAACTAACACTTCTATAAATTATTGAATTTTATTCCAGTCTTTGACAAGACCGCATTTTAGAGATTTACTATAAAAAAAAATTACTTTCTGGATTGTTATGATTGTTAAACAATAATTCCCTATGGACTCTTTATAAGGTTAGTAAAGTTTGTAATTATTGATGTTTTGTAAAGTTTTATTTACACAATCATTAACGATTGCAATCGTTAATTTGTTGATCGAACAATTTAGAAGAGTATTAACACAATACAAACATTTATTTATTTGAAAACTTCTTGGTTCGGAATTAATTAGAATTAATTCAAGAGATTAACAGTGTTGCAATTTGAATGGCATCAGAATGGCATCAAGATGGCACTTCAGAATGGCATCAAGATCCCAATATACTGAGGATGATATTGACAATGCAATTGAAGACATTAAGAGGTAAATTGGACATTTTAATTTCCTATTAGTTAATTAATTCTATAATCAGTTTTTACTCTAGTCAAAGCCATGGTATAATTTTTTGTATATTTTCTGTAAACTTTTCTCTAACTTTCTCTGTATTTTTCAGCAAAAGAAAGTCTATTTCAAAAACTGCCAAATTAGTGTCTGGGGGAAAATGATTAGTTATTAAATACTATTTAATAACAAACCATTTCAAAAACTACAATTTTAAATGTCATTTTGCTTCTCGGAATTAGTTTTAACTTCTAGAAAATTGGTCTGTTATATAAAATTATTTATATACATGTACATATATCTATAAGCTATACTGACTTGCAACTTTATTCTATTTTATTAGGTATTCACTCTTCATGAAAAGACACCCAAATATATCACGCGCACCAGCGAATCTTTGAGCATAACAAGAATGAATGTTAGCAAGCAAGTGGCACAGCAATCGTTTGCAGACATAAGAGCATACTTGGCAGAAAATGATATTCTTGACATAACAAACGAGGCAAGCAGGAATTTTAATATAGATGAATCAGGTTTTTAATTTTCATCAAAAATTAAGAGGGTTTTGGCAGATAAAGCTCTAAAAATGTCCACTATGCAACATTAATAAATGCAAAAAAATGTGCTACAGTGCTTGGTGTTTAGCCTACCTATTAAATCCCTTCTTAATATTTCTCTTATTATGCTTACAGTCAATTCAACTAGATGCTTATTCTAAAGTTCGGGCTACATTTAGGTCTATTTCTTTCTTTCTTTTCAGCAAACATCGGTGCTGATGGGTCTCTCCTTCCACCTTTATTTATCTATGCAAACATAAGAACTCCAATGAATGTGTATGAGGCATAGAAGCGCTCCAGAACGCTTGCTGCTATCGTGAAAAGCAAGTCTGGCTATATATAAACATATATAGCCAGACTTGATATATGAGCTTTCATATGAATATATTACCAATGCTTTTGACAGATGGCTTATTGACAAAAACATACTAAGATCAGTCGTTGTCTGGTCAGACAAACATGAATCAAGAATGAATTATCATCTTGTGAAACAGCTGGCCGATCTGCAAATACATCTTATCTTGCTTCTTCCAAATACTACTCATTTCCTCCAACCTCTTAATGTTGGGATATTTGCCCCATTAAAACAAGCACTTGTGTGTTAAAGAATACAGAGCAAAGAACAATAATATGTATATTACTAAGGAAACATTTGCTCCAGTTTTCCTTCCTCTTCATTGTTCTGCTATGAGAAAAGACAAAATCAAAAATTCATTTAGAAAATCTGGCATCTATCCCTTTAACCCAGAAGCCCCAGTTTACAGCAAACTAACAAAAGAAGTTGAGCATTCAAGCGAGGCGTTTTTGCTTGAAGGTATTTTGCAAGATGAAAAGGTGGAGCAAAGCACGCAAGATCCCATTCAGAAGGTAAATGCTATGACTCAAACTTTATCTGATAAATATTACATTAATCTTATGAAATCACTTAGAGCAGGCACAACTAAAAAGTTGTAATTTGCTTTTACTCATCAAACTTTCAAATTATTCAAGCTTTAAATAAAAAAATCAATAGCCATACTAATTTAGCCATACTAATAACATTCAATCCATTTAAATTTGTGTGTATCTTTTGATACGCATAAATTTAAATGAATCATTGTGTATATAATTCAAATGAATCACTGTATATATATATATATATATATATATATATATATATATATATATATATATATATATATATATATATATATATATATATATATATATGTGTGTGTTTACACACATATACACATATATACTGTGTATATATATACATATATATATATATATATATATATATATATATATATATATATATGTATATATATATATATATATATATATTATACATACATATATATACACATATACATATATATATATATATATATATATATATATATATATATATATATATACACACATATATATATATATACATATATATATATATATATATATATATATATATATATATACATATATATAATATATATATATATATATATATATATATATATATATATATATATATATATATATATATATATATATATTGTCAACCTACAAAAAGAGTCATAAGTCAGTTCATAAGAAAGTTTTTGTAAGTCAGTCAGGTCAGGTTTTCCTGCTACTGGTAACATGTCATAAGTCAGTCATAAAAAAGTTTTTGTAAGTCAGTCAGGTCAGGTTTTCCTGCTACTGGTAACATGTAACCCAGTACAACCTGCTCCATGTCCTGCTGCCTTGTAGGATACGCTTTTTTAGGCAAAGGCTAGGAGAAGTTAACTCCGAATTAAAACACCCCCTGCCTTGGGGCTCTTGGTTGAGTAAAGGCTAGAGATGGTGTCTCGATAAAAATACTCATCTTGGGCAGATGTTACATGCATCCAGCTGCTGTCTTGTAGAAGGCCTCTTAGGCAAAGACTTAAGGCGTAAACAGATTCTATCTGTTGACCAGCCTCGCACCCCTTCCTCATCTATTAGGCTGGCGCAGATGTATTTTTAATACATTGTTTCCAGTTTAGGATGTTGAACGCTGGATCTTCTTGACTCAATGCGTGGGTATTGCTTGTGTCTCTATTTTTATGACTGGGCAACTCATTCTATTATCTCCTAATGAGGGTACAGCTCTAAAACTCAGTTTTATGGTTCTGAGGCCGGCTGGTAGTCAGGTTTCCCGAACTCTGTGGTAGCTCTCAGAGAGGCTGATTCCATCAACAGCTGAAAAATATCAGAGTACTAACAGTGCCATGTTGCGCATGGATGGTGTCCCTGTTTGTACTTTTGGTGTGCATTGCAGAGGCCACATTTGGAGCCCTTTGTTACGGCTTAGGGTTTATTAATAGTAATGAGGCTATTGCTTAGTTGTTAAATAGTGTACTGAGTACTATCTATACTTGAGTCAAGTTCTTTATAAATTTAAAATGACTAAAGTACCTAAAACTAAAAAACACAAAAAACCATCGTCATCACCAAGTTCTCTAAACCTATCATTTACTAATATTCGTGGTCTTCGAAGTAACTTTTCTTCTGTTGAGTCTTATCTCTTGCAAAGTTCACCAGACCTACTTGCTCTTTGTGAGACTAATTTGAGTTCGGCTGTCCCATCTTGTGATCTTAGTGTTGATGGTTATCTTCCTTTAATTCGTAAAGACTACAATAATCACATGCTTGGCCTGGGCATCTACATTCGTAAGAACTCACCCATTTGTCGTGAAACTAGGTTTGAATCTACAGACTATTCATTTATGTGCTTTTGTTTAGCACAACTTCACTCTATCGCCTTTCTCTTTGTTCTATATCGCTCTCCTTCATCCCAAGATTACACTATTCTTGATGTTATTTCTGATCAAATTGACCAAGCCCTCTCTCTTTATCCATCGGCCAATATCGTCGTTGTTGGTGACTTTAATGCCCATCACACCGATTGGCTTGGCTCAAGTGTCAGTGACTCTGCTGGCGTTAAGGCCCTCAACTTTTGCCTTTCTCAATCTCTAACTCAAATAGTCAACTTTCCAACTCGTTTTCCAGACAACCCTAATCATTTACCTTCTCTACTCGACTTATGTCTTGTTTTGGATCCTAGTCAGTGCTCAATTTCTCCACATTCACCCTTAGGTACTTCTGATCACGGTTTGATCTCTCTAAAACTATTATCAAATTCTTCTACTTCATCAGAATCCCCCTATCATCGTACCACATACAACTACCTTAAAGCTGACTGGGACTCTTTCCGTGATTTTCTTCGTGATGGCCCTTGGGTAGAAATCTTTCGTCTTCCTGCTGACAAATGTGCTTCTTACATAACTTCGTGGATTCAGGCTGGCATGGAATCTTTTATTCCCTCTCGACGATTCCAGGTCAAGCCTCACTCTTCTCCTTGGTTTTCCTCACATTGCGCTGCAGCAATTTCTAATCGAAACCGTTACTTCCATATCTATCAGCAAAACAATTCTCCAGAAAACAGACATCTGTTCACTATCGCCAGAAACCATTGTAAAAAGGTTTTGTCTGACGCCAAAGCTCGCTATTCCCAGGTCATTAAATCTCGTATCTCATCACAAAAATTAGGCTCTCGAGACTTCTGGAGAATCTTTAACAGTATCAATAATAAGGGCAAATCTGTTATTCCTTCTCTCTTGTATGGTTCAGACTTTGTCACCTCACCTAAAGACAAAGCTGAATTGTTTGCTAAGAACTTTTCATCAATATCATCTCTTGATTCCACTAGTTGCGTTTTACCTGACATAGCCGTCAAACAGGTTGATCCCTTGCTTGACATTCGCATTACTTCAGCTTCTGTATCTAAAGTAATTTCCTGCTTAGACTCTTCAACAGCTTGTGGTCCTGACAACATTCCTGTTGTAGTCTTGCAGAGGTGTTCTCCGGAGCTTTCATCCATACTTTCTAAACTATTTAACAAGTGCTTATCAGAGTCTTGTTTTCCATCATGCTGGAAAGCAGCATCTGTTATCCCTATTTTCAAAAATTCCGGAGAGCGATCTGATTCATCTAACTACCGTCCCATTAGTCTTCTTCCTGTCATAAGCAAGGTTTTTGAATCTTTAATCAACAAACACTTAATCTCTCATCTTGAATCAAATAACTTACTTTCTGATCATCAATATGGATTTCGGTCTTCTCGCTCTACAGCTGATGTGCTAACAGTAATAACCGATAGGTTTTACCGTGCATTAGATAGAGGAGGAGAGGATAAGGCTATCGCACTTGACATTTCTAAAGCTTTTGATAAAGTTTGGCATGCTGGTCTTCTCCATAAGCTTTCTTCTTATGGTGTAGCTGGTAACGTCTTTAAGATTATTGAGTCCTTTCTTTCCAATCGTAGTATAAAAGTTGTCCTCGATGGACAACACTCTTCTTCACATCCTGTAACTTCAGGGGTTCCTCAAGGTTCAATCCTTGGCCCTATACTCTTTTTAATTTACATTAACGATCTTCCAGATATTCTCTCATCTAAGGTGGCATTATTCGCTGACGACACTACCACTTACTCTTGTCATGATAAGAAGCCTACACTCTCTGATTGCTTGGAGGGGGTATCTGAGCTTGAAAAGGATCTCACTTCTGCTACAGCATGGGGCTCACAGTGGCTGGTGAACTTTAATTCAGATAAAACTCAATTTTATTCGGCCAATCGTTATCGTAATAATTTAGATCTTCCTATATTTATGAATGGTAATGTACTAGATGAGTCATCTACCATTCATCTTCTAGGATTAACTCTTACTTCTGATCTTTCTTTTAAACCGTATATCAAATCCATTGCAAAATTAGCATCTGCTAAGGTTGCATCTCTTTATCGAGCTCGACACTTTCTTACTCCAGATTCTATTCTCTATCTCTATAAATCTCAAATCCGTCCCTGTATGGAATACTGTTGCCACATCTGGGGCGGATCTTCTAATGATGCTCTTTCTCTTTTAGACAAGGTGCAAAAACGAATTGTAAACATAGTTGGACCTGCTCTGGCAGCCAATCTCCAACCTTTGTCACATCGTCGTAATGTTGCTTCTCTTTCTCTTTTCTACAAATACTATAATGGGCACTGCTCTAAAGAGCTAGCGTCCCTTGTGCCATCTACTAAAATTCATTCTCGTGTTACTCGCCATTCAATTAAGTCTCATCCTTTTTCTGTGACTGTTCCTAAGTGCTTCAAAAACTCTTATTCTTCTAGTTTTTTTCCTCGAACATCAGTTCTTTGGAATTCGCTTCCTTCATCTTGCTTTCCTGATTCATATAATTTGCAATCTTTTAAGTCATCAGTCAATCGTTATCTTGCTCTACAGATTTAGTCTTTTCTCTTCCAGTAACTTCCAACTTTTATAGTGGTTGCTTGCAGCCTTGTTGGAAGTGAAGATGTTAAAAAAAAAAAAAAAAGAGTGCTTAATTTTTTAAAAGAACAGAGCAATAATAAATTAGTAAAAACATTTATCTAATATTATCTTTGACTGGCTGTTTCTTCATCTGTTGGTTCATATATATAAAATCATCATCATTTTTCTGATGATCTTATAGAAGGAGAAACAGCCTGTAGAAGAAAATATTAGATAAGTGTTTCTTCTAATTTATAGTAGATTATAAATTAGATTTTTCAAGAACGAATTAATTTCAAGTTTAATTCTTGGATAACACTTTAGTCAGACTTCAGATTTGAAGTAAAACTTCAAATCTGAAGTTTTACTTCAAATCAATAAAAAAGTTTCAAATTTTGCATTCTGAAAAGATTTTGCTTTTTTAAGCTGGCGTTTCAAGTTTAACTTGAAAACAGCCGGTTTTCAAGATTGACTCGAGTTTTAAAGTTAGACTTCGAGTTCATGTTCGCTCTTTGCATTTGCTCAAGTCAAAATTTAGACTTGAAGTATGACTTCAAATTTCAAATTTGCTTCTTGCATTCACCCTAAACTACAACAAAATGTATTTTTGCACTCAAAAGACAAGCTATAAAAAATTATTAACCACATTATTTTTTGAACATTTTACAATCTTAGAAAAAAGGGGAAACATTTTAAAAATAGCTAGAAATAAAAAAAAAAGTAGTTTTTAATTTGTTTTTAACAATTTCTTTATAATATCAAACTATTGGAAAAAGTGGTTTAAACCACCTGAAAAAAAAATACCTCTAAAAAAGAGCAGTGAATGACAAGAGATCTTTAAAACAAAAAATATAAAATATTTAAAATTTTTATTAGTCAAGAACTTGATTGATAATTAATATTAAAATTTGTATAAAATTTAAATTTTTACTAATTTGAGGAAAGTCCTTAATCTTTTATAATTCAGTTGAACCTTTAACAAACCAGTGTTTCCAAATAATTAGATTAAAGGTAAAATGTAAAGTTAAAGCCAAGCCTAAAGGGTTTAGAAAAACCTGAGAAATTTGATGTTACATTTTTAATTATTTATTACATGAAACTTTGTTTTTAAAAACTATTTATAATGTTTAAGTGTATTTACTAATTTTAAAACAATACCTGTTGAACTGCTAATGTACTATCCATCTCTTCAAAAGCTTCTTCTGACCAAGAGTACATATCCTATTTATAAAATTTTTGAAAAACTAATCAAAACAGAAAAAAGATAAAAGAGAATAATCCATACAAGTTTATAAATAACTATACAAGATATATTTATATATATATATATATATACATATATATATATATATATATATATATATATATATATATATATATATATATATATATAAATATATATATATATATAAATATATATATATATATATATATATATATATATATATAATATATATATATATATATATATATATATATATATATATATATGTATATATATATATATATATATATATATATATATTTATTTATTTATTTTCTATTCAAACACAGATATTCAGTGCAGAAAGATTTTTTCCCTAAAATCCTCTCTGCACTGAAAAGGCCTTGGTGGGAAAAAAAATTAGTGCAATAATGGAGAAAAGCTCTCCTAAAACAAACATTGCAAGCTAAGCAAGCTACTCCTCTAAACAACTTTTTCCAATAGCTTTTGGTTTTTGCACAAGCTATCTCTTTATTCATTAAAAAAATTGTTTATTAAATACAAAATTTGATACAAAATATACATAATGAGCATAATTTATTGCACCATAAAAAAATCTTTTAGACAAATTTTTTTTTAGTTTTCACACAACTATCTATTTATTTATTAACAATTTTACTTATTTTATAAAAATTTGATAAAGAGCTAAGAGCTATAAAATTTTTTACTGCTTATAAAAAATATTTTATATTTCTGTACTGTAATAGAAATGCAGAATTTTTAAGAATTACAACAATTAAAATTTTTAATTATTACAACAATTAAAAATTTTAATTATTACAATAATTAAAATTTTTAATTATTACAATTAAAAATTTTAATTATTACAATTAAAAATTCCACAATAAAAGTGATAACATAATTGCAATTTTTTTTAGCTGAACATATAATTGTCATTGTACTTTTTTATTTTGCTCAAATTAGGACAAATTTGCATAATTTATTATAACTAACATGTAAAATATATAATTTAATACATAAATTAAAAATTATGCAATAATTTAGAGTGCAATATATATATATATATATATATATATATATATATATATATATATATACACACATACATACAGGGTGTTAACTAGGAATAAATTTGATACAGCATTTTGACAAAATTGGGTATTTGTCGAAAATTTTCCCAAATATCCCCCCCCCCCCCTATTACCTGAGATAAAAATGTGTACCGGGAATGTGTGAGGTCCTTTTCCTATATTTTTCTTCTTCTATTCCACTTTAGCGCTGCATATATTGATTGAACAGTGCCAAAAATAAAACAAAATACCGTCTGTAACATTTATTGAAGATGAATATGAAATCAATACAAAATTAAACGTGGTTTCAAAATGACAAGGCAAATTAAGCTTCAATTTCCAAAGAATTCAGAAAAAAATATTCCAAATATATATTCAGAATTATATATTTTTATATTATAAAATAATCAATGATTACTAATTAATTATTATCAAGAATAATATATTTGATTTACTTTTAATCTTACTATATTGTTGCCACTTATTTCACATTTTATTGCGAGTTCAATTTTATAATATATATTGACTTTCTTTATACATAAATCACATAGCAAAATAAAGTTACAATTACTAAGTCTCAGCAAAAACAACAAAAAATGTTGTTTATTTACAAAATAATTACAAAAGATTGCACGCTGTTGTGGCAACAAAGAATACCAATAATTATTTTTTCATGCATAGTATAAAATGTTAATATGACTATGGTTCATTGAAACATTTAAATTTGCTTTTATGTTTTAAATTCAAGCAAGAAGTGAATCCAGTTTTCTCGTTTTTTAAATTTCTAGTACCAGTTTGTTGTAATAAAAAAAAAACATTTTTGTTATTAAAAGTATTTAATTTATGTTTTAATATACATATTTAAATACGTATATTAAAACGTAAATTAAAAACGTAAGTAAAGTAAAGAAATCTATTTTCCTCATTAAATAAATTTCTAGAACCAGTTTGTTATAATCAAAAAATATTTATTTAAATTATTTAACTTTTCAGCCGAAAAGGGCCAAACCTTTAAAGAAATTGCATTTGAGGGTGTTAAACCAAACAAATTTGTAATTTTTTAAACTGCACTTTATTTCTTGCTAACTTTTTTGTTATAATCAGGGTTGGCATTAAAAAACCCGCCCAAAAAAACCCGCCTAAAAAAACCCAATAAAACCCTTGAAAATCTGGGTTTTATTGGGTTTTTTTAAAGATATTTAATGAGTTTATGAACTATTATAACCAACTTTAACATTATAACTATAATATAATTAACTAAAATAATTACTAACTAATATTATTAACTAAATTATTATTAACTATTATAACCAACAATAACAGCTATCAGAGCAGGTTTACTATTATTTGAATCATTATTTGGAAATACATTATTACAATTTTTATTCAAATATTTTTATCGAGTTTTTTTTATTACTTTATGTTATTCACCTCACAAGTTGAATTTAAATGAGTAGTAGTGACGAGAGAAGCCAACACAACAGTTGAGGATGCTACCTTGTTGTGGTTACAATCCTCTCTCAATTCTTTAACTCCTAAACACGAATCTTTATAAACAAGGCCGCTGCGCAGAGGAACAAGTTTGTTTATTTGAATTTCAAGTTCAAAGTTTAATTAAAACTTTAGTTACTACCTCCCATTCTCTAGCCTTCTTTTTCCCATTTTCTCATTGACATTTTTAATTATATAGAATAATACTTTTAAATTTAAAATAAATCAATACATATAGATTAGGCGTGAAATTTTTTTTTTCTATTACAGTTTTAAATTATACTTAAAAATCTTTTTCAAAATAATTTGAAAAATTCTTGTTATAAATAATTAAATAACAATATATAAAATATATTTTAAATAAAGTTAAAGTAGAAAATGAAACTAATTTTCAATATCATTAAACAAAAACACAAAAAAATATTTTACAGGGACAAAATAAAAATTAAACCCAAAAAAACCCAAATTTACCCAAAAAAACCCAAAAAAAACCCACTGGGTTTTTTTTAAAAATCTCGGGTTTTTGTCAACCCTGAAGCGCGTAGTTATACCAATAACGGCAATTTTATTAAAGTTTTAAACAATAAATTATAATTTTTTATATTATTTTTCTATTATTATTCTATTTTTTTATATTATTTTTCTATTATTATTCTATTAAGAGAAAAGCAAGATTACAAGGAGGTTTTTATTTCGCCTGATTTAACTGAAACAGAGAGAATGGAAAACTATGAGCTTAGAAAGAAACGTGACAAAATGAATGGTGAAAGAATAGCAAACTCGCCCTTTAGATATGCGATCCGTGGAAATGGAATTGTCAAATTTAAAATACAACTTAACACAACAACACAAAAAATTAGTAAGTTTGTTATCATTTAATGTTTTATATACGAAAGCAACATCTTTAGTAAACAAAGTTGAAGAATTTAAAATCTTATGCAGTTTTAAAAACCCTCAAATAATTGCTATTACAGAAACCTGGTTTAATGAGACATCGGAAATTTTTTTGGAAGGATATTCTTTGTATAAACGAAATAGGGGGGATGGGCGTAGAGGAGGAGGGGTTGCGCTATATATAGATAGCAACCTAATATCTTATGAGGTAAACGAAGGTATATTAAATAGAAGTAAAATTGAACAAATATGGATCATTATAGTTGCAAATGATAAAAAATATTTAATTGGTTGCGTGTACAGACCAAGCGAACAAGTAGATGTGCTTGAAATGAGTCAAATATTCATAAAAGCTTGTAAATTAGTAGAAAAAAATAATTTTGCAGATTTGTTAATTATTAGTGATTTTAATTTTCTAAATGTAAAATGGTTGAATGGATACGTTAGTGATATTTTAGTAGGTGAAGATTGTGTTGAAAATGAATTTATTAATATTATATATGAATGTTTTTTGTACCAACACATATCAATCCCAACCTTTCAAAATGCACAATGTTACAAAAAATACCTTGGATCTTATTTTTACAAAAAACAATGAACGAGTCTATCAACTTGAGTCTAACCCAGTTCTAGGAAATATAAATCATGGACATTTGGTTTTAACTTGTAAATTTAACCTTGATGCTATTGCAATCGAAAATTATCCAAAGTAAAAATTTGATTACAGTAGATGTGACTATCCACAAATATTTATTTGATGGGTTATCAGTTCAATTTATGTATGATCTGTTTATTGAAAAAATTAGTCAATCATGTAATGCTTTTATTCCAATAATTGACGTAAATTCAAGAAAGAAAAGAAAAAATAATCCATGGTTTACTGATGAAGTAAGTCTTCTAGTACGTTCAAAACAAAATTTGCGTTATCAAAATTTATCATCGAACTGGAAAGATTTGAATAAAGTAATGAAATATAAAAACATTTGCAAAACTGTGAAAATAGAATCGCGTAAAGCAAGATGTTACTATGAAAATGATCTTGTTGAAAAATTAAAGGTAAATCCGAAACTGCTATATAAATATGTGAATAGTCAAAAAACGATTAAACAAGTAATTAAAGCATTAAGAGATTAAACTGGTTGCGTAACAAATGATCAAAATGAAATTGTTGAAATTTTAAATAAACAATTTCAAGATGTATTTACCATCGAAAATTCTACAGAAGAGCTTCCACAAATCGAGAATTTAGGGGATATTATTATTGATGCAGTTAATATAGATTATTTTGATGTTTTAAGTAGATTGAAACATGTTGATATCAATAAAACATATGGAGTTGATTCTATACATCCGTTGATTTTGAAAAATTGTGCGGATTCTGTAGCATTGCCATTAACTTTAATTTTTATAGAATCTTTTGTTAAAAGTGAACTACCAACTCAATGGAGAGCAGCAAATATTACACCACTATTCAAAAAGGGAGATAAATTAGAAGCTGCAAATTATAGACCAGTGTCATTGACGCCAATTACTTGTAAAAT